TAGTTGTCATCTTAGATTATAAGGTTTTGTGATGTTATAAAATAGTTACTTTGGCCTCTCATGCAGGAAGGTGGTATTGATTTGGTAACAATCATCAAGGGAACTAGCTTCTATCATTGTGGAAAATACCATGACTGTTGTCAGATTACATGCCACCTACACCTCCTGAATTCTAGAAGTTATATGAATCAAATAGGTAAGCATCTTTGGACAAAGCAAATGTCAACCATGTACCAAAAGGCTAGAGACATACCAGTTGTATTCTTTCATGAGGAGGGTGCAGAATAACAAGAGCTTATTGTTATGTCAAGAAAAGAGCATATTATGTCAAAGATTAATTAGTGGAATATTGATGACAGTAAAACCTGACACTTATCATGCTCACCATAGGAATTTTATATATGTTTAATTGAATTGCAGTGCCATCACGTATAAGTCTTGATTTTGGATTTCTCAACTGACTTTGTTCCTAGATAGATGGTTAAATGCTGCTCTTAGCTCTGTGATGCTCTCAACTACCGAGGATGGGAAGGTGGTGAAGGGCCTTGCCGGGGTTCCACTGGAGGGACCCGTCCTGTACATTGGTTATCACATGTTACTGGGACTAGAAGTTATTTCCTTGGTATCTGAATTTCTTACTCAGAGAAATATCCTCTTGCGAGGGATAGCACATCCATTGCTGTTTGAAAGATTGAGAGAAGGCAGGTTACCTGATGTATCAACCTTTGACTCAATATGATTAATGGGGGCAGTTCCTGTTTCAGGAACAAATTTCTACAAGCTTATGTCTTCAAAATCTCATAGCCTGTTGTTCCCTGGAGGGGTGGGCGCTGCTCTTCACAGGAAGGTAACATATTGAATATTTAACTATAGTATTGTGCAGCTGTGATAACTCAACTCTAGGTAGCTAGGCAGATTGATTAATTAATTTTTCCAAGGTGAAGCATACAAGTTATTTTGACCAGAAAAGTCCAAGGGTTTGTGAGGATGGCTGCTACATTTGGAGCCAAAATAGTAGCATTTGGTGTTGTTGGAGCAGATGATTTTGCTGAATTAATTTTTTATTATAGTGATCAAACGAAGATACCTTACTTTAGGGATTTTATAGAAGATTTGACAGAAGAGGCTGTGTTATTGAGGTATATATTCTGATCGAGTCTTAAATTACAAAATGCAATCAATGTCCATTTGATGAGCTTTCTGTAATCTTGAAATGATAGGAATGAAGGAGATGGCGAGGTGTCAAACCAACAACTTTACCAACCATGACTGGCACCAAGGTTTCCAGGAATATATTATTTTTATTTTGGGAAACCAATTGAAACCCAAGGTATTTACATATATAGTCTGTTTACATTAATTTATGGAGTATATTTTTTTTTTTTTATTTATGGTTTGGCTCATGGCTGGCTTTAATTGAAACGTTAAAAACTGTTTGTTTGGTTTTATCATATAAAAGGAAGAAAGCAAGAACTAAAAGATAGGGAGAAATGTTATCAACTGTATTTACATAGATGCATTGCTTACTTGAAGCAGAAAAGAGAAGAAGATCCATACAGGAATATTGTACCCCGGCTAATGCACCAGGCCACACATGGTTCCAACTCTCAAGCTCCTTCCTTTGTAGTTATACATCCTTCTGATATTAATTTGTATTGAAAATAATAAAAAAAAGTCAAATAGATTATTTTAATTATAGATTATTTTAATTAGTTAAGTGATTAAATAAAGATCAACTCTGATTTTTTAAAGCCAATTAATATTAAAAAAATTTTCCTTAAACATGTGCCCTACAAGTTAAAAAAAAAGAAGAAGATAATTTGAAATCTATGTGTAAAAGTGGAGATATGAAATGTAAACAATGATATACTTTTATTTGATCAAATTTAAAATAAATAATGTATTGGCTAAGCTCTTGTTGGTAAAGATTATAGTATGTCATGTATATACATGGTTGTGCTATTGTTAGGGCAAGGTCATATGGTAAAATTAAGGTCATTATGAACTACACTAGCTATAAT